GGGAACATTTGATCGACCGGTTATGGGTTGTGCCTTCTCCTAAAAGAATCCTGAAAACAATACCCCTGACAAAGCTTAGGATTCTTCACTTCAATCCTTATAAAGGTAATAGTGACCCAACCAACCACCTCGCTTCTTTTGAGTCGACAATTTGAGTCCTACAGATTGATGATGCCATGAAGTATTCGTTGTTCCCGACAATGCTGAAAGAAGCCACACTCTGATGGTTTAAAAGCTTGTCAGATGAAGTCATTCCATCAATCTTCCAATTCTGGAACCTCTTCCTAGCAAACTTTGCTAACATACAGAAACCGTGAAAGAATACAAAGACCTTGCTTTAGATTAGGCAATGGGAGAATGAAAGCCTGTGAGCTAACATCCCTTGTTTCCAAAAGAAAATGCTAGAGGTAAGGAATTTGGAGCAAGTCATCACCCGGACCGCTCTGAAACAAGGGATCCGCAGGTATGACTTGAACTTACTCAAACATAGGGATTTCACATGTTTTTCTTACTGCGCTTCTCTGTGGGATCGATACTTGGGTTTTGAAAGAAAGTCCTATATTACTTGAAGTGATACATGCACTTTCATAGAACCACTAGTGTATGAACTATTATATATATATATATATATATAATTATTTGTTTTTCAATTAAGTTTTTAGCCATATTTTTTAAAGCTAAATTACTGCTTAATTTTGGGACGTGTCCAGTTTTTGGCACTGTTATCGGTGATTTAAATTAACATAAAACACACACTAAGGGCACATCACCCCGACAAAGCATTAAATCAAAGAAGAGCTAGCTGTGGCACCGAGATCACCTAGTTGAGCATTAAATTGAAGAAGAGTCATTCATAATGCCAAGATCACCCGGCTGAGCATTAAATCGAAGAAGAGTCAGTTGTGATGCTAAGATTACCCGATTAAGCATTAAATCAAAGGAGGGCCAACCATGGTGACAGGATCGCCTAGGTGAGCATCAAATCTAAAGACAACCATTTGGGGTACCAATATCACCCATATAAGAATAAAATCGAAGAACAACTATCCGGGGGTCCCACTAAGCCCAAACCTGAAAGACAAATAACTATAGCATCAAAATCGCTCAGCTAGGTCCAAAAATGATGGTAACCGGTCAGGACACCAAGATTATCTGAACATATCCTAACAAACTCAAAATCCCTTCACATCCGAATGAGATCCCCTACTCGTTAGTAACAAGCTCCATAAGGGACAAAGGGTAAAGTCATTCTAAGGAACCATATAGACGCTTCACTAAATATGGTAAGCTGAAGTCAAATAAATAGAAGAAGTAAAATGTAGCAAAAAGACTTTTCCTTTCTTTGAAAAAAGAGATGTACAATGTTTTTTAAATGGTTTTTACTAACGGTTGATCTGCTAAACATGTTGGGTGGCATAGATTTTCTAAAAAAAAAAAAATTATAAGAAAAAAAAAGTAAAAAACAACCTAAGTAGCAATGAACCCGTCGTCGCCTCTATCTCTAGCTTTGCCCGGATGGTCCACATCATCACCTTCCTCATCTGAGTCTATGAAGAGAGTGGTGAGTTGGTCCATGTCAGTCCACATGGCCTTCACCAACCCTTTCTTTACAAAAAGCTCGACAACCATAGCTTGCTCAATCTGCATTTGCTCGGATATTGCCCCTCCTAGCATAAACCAAGCTAGTCTTTTGATTTCGTATTGATGTAGGGAGACCTAAATAGTCTCTTGAATAACAAACACTTCAGCCTGACGTGTCGATACTTCATCGAGAATGGACTTCTGGGTGGGCTTCATTGCGAGTTTTATTCCCATTTTCCAGCCAACATCCCAAGGGCGATTGGGATTAGCCTCCTGAATCAGTGAAGCCTTAGCCTCATGAAGCTGAAGTCCTGTCGAACATGCCGACTTTGACATGCCAGCCACCTCAGTTGGGCCAACTGTAGGACAAATTGCCGCCTCCTTTGGTAGTCCTCTCGATTGTCTAGAACCCTCAGAGGACCAAAAATTAGTGGCATTCCT